TTACATAAATTTACAACTTTACCATGAAAATGTCTTTTAGTGTGACCACCATCCCAATTAGCCTGGGCATAGAATGTCCTGGGAGTCCCAGTCCCTGGCAGCTGGACTGGCTACCTGATTTTTTAATTAATTTTAAAACCCTTTTTTTTTTTTTCTTTTTGGAGCAGGGTCTCCCTGTAGCCCCAGCTTTCCTGGAACTCACTCTGTAGACCAGGCTGGCCTTGAACTCACAAAGATCCGCCTGCCTCTGCCTCCCAAGTGCTGGGATTAAAGGCGTGTGCCACCATGCCTGGCAATTTTAAATAACTTTTAAATTTACTGAAGATCAGAGTTCTTGTTTTTCTTCACAGCTACAGTTGGTGACTCAGAAAGTACCTGAAATTTCTGTGAGCTCTGGACTTGGATGGCATTTCTCTCCCATTGATTTTGGGGCGTCATTGTGTTTCGCCACACGTGCTGAATAGGCTGGTCACATCCAGTTTGAAGACCCACTATCAATGTACCATTCGGGTGACTGGAGAAGTCATAAAATGTGATCTGTGAAGAAAAATAGGTGCCTGAATAATTGCAATAAAGGAATTCCCAGTGTACTAAAATACTTGAAATGCTGATGCTTTCAAATACCTGACAAACTTGTTGGCCATTTGTTGGAAGGAAAACTCTGCTCCTTACATTTGAAGAAATAGAATCCACCCCAGAGACCAATGTCAGAAAATGCGCTAGGGGAGGCAAGAGTTAGCACATTAGCTTCAACTGATAACTGGCACTCATTCTGATAAATGCACACAAATACACATAAATGCACATACATGAAGTCAGCACAATTATGTTTAAAGACTAAAACTTAATCCATAGTATCTAGCAAATTGACTAATAATCTCATATTTTATATTGCCCATTTAAATAGCTACTAGTGATTATACACCATGGGCAAACAGTCCACAGCATAATTTATTGCATCTGACAGAAAGTGACAACTCCACAAAGACAATATCCAAGGAAAACACAATACTGGGATTGCCCACCAAAATAAGCCCTTCAATGACATCATTATCTACTGTACTTTCGCTCCAATGGGATTGGACTAAGTAGCCCTAGCTTTCCCCAGCACAGGAGGAACAACACTGAGCCCTGATGTTCTCTTGCATGCTGTGATACATAATATACCCAACAACACTGCCACTGCCTGAGGACCTCTAAAAGAAACACTGGGTCTTCCCTGGACTTTCATAGGGTTCCCTGCTGCACTTCACTGGGCCTGTCCTGGCTGATCTGGAAGCCACCACTGTTGTTTGTCAAGAGGAATGAGGAAAAACAGTGTGATGATGATTGTGGTGACATTTCTAGCCCAGTTCATTAAGTGATATATTAAAGCCAGATTAGAAACCAATTCTAATTGTCACATCATTAGTAATCAATAGTAATATGAAGCCTAACAAAACTCTTCTCTATTTTTATTCCAAAAAAATTAAACAATGAAAATAATTACTGCTTGAAGACATAGGTGCAAAATTGAAATGATTTATGCTAAGTTTATATGTCTAGGATTATTTCATAAAAGTGACTTGGATGAAGAGCTGACATTGCTGTGGCACCAGTGGACAGCCATCGGCTTTCCCTTGTGTAGGTAAACAAATACTAAAAACAGTAATAATCTGATAAGCATAATGGGACATGTGAACACAGTGTTTTAGTTTTAAACAATATTATTAGTCATATAAATGACATTCAATGGGCTTTAAATTACTGGTTATAAATATTTGACTACAAAACAGCATCCATTAGATTTATTCAAAAATTATTTTCATTGGTTAAGAAAATTGCTTAAATTAATCATATTTTTTTAAAGATTTGGTATTAAAAACAAGATCTTACACATTAAGATTTTAAATAACAAAGTGTATTTATATTTTTCAAATGATGAGAGAGTAAATTATTTAACTGTATAGCCACATGATTTTATAAATATGGACTGTCATTTGATATAGGCTATGAAACTGCAAATGTTTCTACATATTGTCAAGTATTTAATAAATGTTAATCTTCAAGCTATAAGGGAAAGTGAAGTTTTAAATCCAGAAATAATTTGAGATTATTTAGCATTTGCTATAGTAATAATCTGTTAATCATGAGACAGATGAAAACAAAGCAAAGAGCAAGGAGAAGCAGGGAAGAGGAAGAGGAGGAGGAGGGAGAGGAGGAGGAGGAACAGGAGGAGGGGGAAGAGGAACAGGAGGAGCAGGAAGAGGAGGAGGAGGTAAAGAAGAAGAAAGAGGAGAAGGAAGAGGAGGAAGAGGAAGAGTAGGAGGAGGAGGAAGAGGCAGAGGAGGAGCAGGAGGAGGAGGAACATTCAACATATACCCAATAGCAATATCTGTTTTCTATATGTAAATCCTTCTTAGTCACAATAGTAATTTTCCTTTTTCATTTTTTAGTGTATATTTTTGCCCTGCATCTTCTACTATGAGTATAAAATTTAACCAACAAATGGAGATTTTCTTAGAGAGGAGCATCACCCTGCTGGAAGTCCTCTTATTTTCTGGAAGGCATCAGTCATGGTGTCTACTTACAACAGAAAAAGGTAGCTCTTTGATGACACAGCTTTTCCCACATGCTTATTATATCAGCGCCTTTCTTCTCCTGGTGCTAGTCACCAAGAAGAGACTCTACGGAGTGCTTGGATAACCAAACAATGCGTGCAGTATTCTCTCTACACACTCATCTCACTCCTTGATCACACACACACACACACACACCATCATCATCAGGGCTCTTATTTTCTCTGTCATCCTTATTTCAGCTTATTTATAGGATTTATAGATTCCCATTTTTCCCCATGACTTCACAAAAGCACATGTACAACACATCATTAAAACATACACTTTTAAAACAACACTCATAAAGGGTTGATTAGATGGCTCAGTAGATTAAGGTGCTTACCAGCAAGCCTGACTACCTGAGTCTGATTCCTAGAACATACATGATAGAAAGAGAGAACTGTTTCTTGCAAGTTGTCCTCTGACCTCCATACACATACATACCATGAACATATGCACACATGCATATACATGCAGACACTACACACACAGGCACCAAAGAGATGTAACCAAAGTTCTTTTAAAAGTACTAATTATTAAGATGATAAAATAAAAATATGGCATCATGATTTCCTGTCCAGCTACCTTTTATAAGCAGGCTTTTTCTTTTTTCAGTAACTAAGTGTTGGAATAAAATCCCAACAAGAACAGAGATGAATGGAATAAAAATTGGGCGTTTAAAATAAAAGAGTGACAAAAGCCACGAATCAAACTTTGAACGTCAAATCAAGTAACAGTGACAGCAAATCCTACCAGCCCTATCCTCAGGCAAGACAAGAGAGAATGTTAGTTTCACATTCTCAAACTCCTGATAGCCAGCCTTGCGTTTCCTCCATGCCCAAGTCCTGCGTGAGGAACAAGGTTGAATGCGAACAGATGAAATGGACATCCTGTTGCAGACTATATTGCAAACAATGAGCTCCAAAGAACTCCAGAAAGAGGACTTTAATAACGACTCATAAGTGAATTCCAGAGAGACCTAGCTTCAGGAACAGGTTCTCATAGCAACATCAGAGGTGTAAAGCAAAGGTCAAAGTGTCAAACTTTAACAAGAAGAAAAGGGTATTTAAATAATACAGTGAAAATAATCTAAATACGAACCCCTTCAAATTGCAAAATATTTGTTAGATTCTGTAAATCTTAAGCTCTGTCAAATACTTATTAAGTGGACAAGTTGTATAAAATTAGAAAAATATTTGTAAAAAAATGTATCTCTTAAAACATACTCAAGCCAGGCATGGTGGTGCACATCTTTAATCCCAACACTCAGAAGGCAGAGGCAGGTGGAACTCTGTGAGATCCAGGCCAGCCTGGACTACATAGCAAGTTGCTGGCCAGCTGGGGCTAAAAGGAGACCCTGTCTTAAAACAAGAACAAAAACAAAAGCCATATTCAAACAGAAATCCATTTTCCTTGCTAGAAACTTCTATATGAATCCTGCATACCAACTTACGTCTGATGTCAGTGACAAAGGGCGAGGAGAATCACATTATATGATCATAAAACATATGAACGAAGGTGATGTTAATGAAAATCACAAAGTGATTACCTATGGAAATTTTCTCCTCTACAAAAGCAATTTTTAAACTGGCAAAATATAGAATCAACATTTCCAGAGTGCTAGAAAGTCATCCTATGTTAACAGCCAACAGGAGAGTTTTTAGTTCAGAAATTGCAGTAAAAACAGAGATTTGGGGTTTTAACTTGTCCTTGTCTCATGAAGCCACTGGGCAGTGACTTTACAAAACAATCAGAGGAATTACAGTGAAGGAAGAACTCTGTAGAAGCCTCAACTCCATATAATTGTCAGATTTGACCTGACAGGTGGCTCCATGACAGACCACTTATAATAGTTTGACATTAAGCACAGTAATAGCTCTCCCCATAAGAAAATCTTTCTCCACAGAATAGACTTGATTAAAACCAGTGACAGTTGATTTTTAACTTCTCAGTTGCCTGATACAGTGTTTCTGGTAAAATATAGAGTAACCATAAAGTCCATGACCATGAGATACTGATAGGGGCTGTGAAAATTGCCAACATTTTCCTACAAATCTAGAAGGATATGTGCATATGCAGTACTGTGCATATTCTCTGGAAAGACTCAAAGAAACTCCTAAGTTCTTACCTCTGGCTGGTCTATGGGCACGGTAAAGGAAGGAAATGAGCAAGCCCAAGCTGTCTGCTGCCTAAATGCTGGGAAGGTATACTTCGATGAGCACACAGCAGTCCCTCGGCCCTAGCGGAGATGTTTATTGGTGCTCAGCTGTTTCGGATTGAAGGTTTGATGTGTCCTTCCTAAAACTCATATGACACCCAATCAGCAATATGATGGCATTAGAAGAGAATTTTAGGAAGTGAGTGGATCATGAGGGCAGAGGTCTCATGGACACAAACAGTATTCACAAAAGAGCTGCCTTGATCATTGTATGTACCATGTGAAGAAACAAAAACAACGTTCCCGCCTATGAACAAGGAAGCAAACGCCACCAGCAACCCCTGCTGTGTTGATCGTGAATTTTCCCACCTTTAGAACATTGAGAGACACGATTCTGTTGTTCGTAAGGTATTTGGTTTATGTATTTAGGTATTTTGTGCTATCGTTGTGAAATGTCAGGACACAGGGAATTACAGAACGGCTTCTGTGTCAGAACCTGGTCAGTATGCTGACAGAGTAACAACTCTAGTGGCTAAACTTAGGACTAAAGACCTTACAGAATTAGGTCAGAAAGTCATTAAGAACAAGGAACAACAACAAACGGCATAACAAAACCTGAGGAGTGGCCAGGGCAAAACATTCCAGAGATCCTGCAAGTACTGGACATAAATTCTTCGTTCGGGGTAACCTCCCTCCATCTTTTTCCCTGTCCTTCACCCTACCTTCATTTAAACCTTTCCATACCTAGTGATTCTTGCCTCTGCTTTGATTTTACTTGTGTTTTAACACGTTCCCCTCCCTTCAGCTCCCCTCCCCCGTAGGTTCTTTTTCGCTCCCTGGCCTCTAAGGACACAGAAATACAAGAATTTGAAGTTAGGATCTGTCTATATAGAGAGTATACATTCTGTTTGCTGGTCTGGAGCCGGGTACTCAGTAGGTACTCGGCGTAACAGTTCCCAGTTTT